AGCACTATCACTAGAACTAACACAAGACCTAGAACTAGAATCATTCGGGTTTAGCCGCCTTGAGAGACGTGCGGCTAAATCCGAATGATTCTAGTTCTAGATCTTGTGTTAGTTCTAATGATAGTGCTAGTGCAAAACTAGAACTAGCAGTAGATCGAGAACTAAAAAGTATCGGGTTTACCCGGCTAAAGTGTTAGTATTAGTTATATATTGTTCAGCATTATTCTTCCCGTTACAGTCTCTTTCCAACGTAACTCTCCTTTGTACAGTATTCATTTTTCTTCTCAGTATTTATTCAGCCTTCTTCTTCTATTACTAGCCTCTAGATAGTCGCCTTCCTCTCTGCACAGTCCTTTTCCTTTGATTCCAGTCTCCATTCAGTTTCCTATTTTTACTACTAATCACTTTTCAGTGTCCCTCCATTGTGACCAGAATTTTTATTGCTTTCCAAGGTATTGAAGCTATTCAACCTCTTTCTTCCATTACCAGTGCCCTTTCACTTTTTGTCATCTCTGTCAAATTACTTTCTTGCCTATGTCTTTCAAGTCTCCTTCCTGCTTAGCATTCTGCCCGATTTTCTTCTTCCATGGCCAGCACCTTTTTTCTCGCACGATCTCTTTCCAACTTAACTCCCCTTTTTTTATCTTTTTTTTTAACAGTAATTATTAATCCTGTTTCTTCTACTATCGATCATAATTACATGTTGAGTAATCAGCAACTCGTATTAAAAGAGATTTAGGATTACAAATTCTCAATATTGTTAATATAGATAGTTCTTTTTGCTAAGAGTGAATGCCGAGAGTGATTATGGTCACTTCTAAGACGTTATCTTTACCGCCACAAATATAGTATCTTGTGAAGGAACATTTTGTGCTATCTGTTGTATGTAGATCATTTCGCTAAGATGAAAGTAGAGAATAAGTATATAATAAGAAATACCGCTGGTAGAGAATTAGATATATTTCATGAAGATTAAATACTACTAATACAACGCAAGAATCTGCCTAGGGTAGATTAGAATCTGCTAGTAGAAGACTAGATATTGCTGACAGAAGACCAGATTCTAATGGCAAAAGACTAACAACTGCTTGTGACGTACCCAGTCGGCCCTACTGGTAGACTACTACTTGTAGTAGACTTGAATTGCTTGTACAAGATTAGATATCGCTTGCAGAAGATTTGATACAGTTGGCCGATGAGAAATCTCTATAAATGAAGAATTAGGTGTAAATAAAAAGCCAGAGGCTGCTTGTAAAAGATTAGAAATACTGATTAGCTGATTAAACCATGATATTTTTGGTGATTTACCACTTTCATAGTATCCTGAAGAAAGTCCTTAAATTCATCAGGAATGTATTTCACTATGAGAAAATTTTCTTTCACATGAAATGTTATACATGTATGTAATACTAAATAGCTGAATATAACAATATTATGCGTCTTCAGACGCACGGCTAGAGCTTGCCTAGACAACAATTTTTGTCCGGTATTAAAAACCGGTATTGATGGCAAAATGGTCGGGGGCAGCCGATGTCTTCGAAAACGGTCGTGCTAGTTTGAAGCTGTGCTGGAAAATGAAGTAGAGGATTCTTGTTTGTTATCTATCTTCTGTCCGTTCTAAGTTTACATTTTTTGACGTTTCATTAAAAAAATGCTAGCCGGAGACGACCAATCGAAAACAACCGTGTTTGTTTAAAGCTGTGCTGGAAAATGATGTTGACCAAACAGAAATTTGTTATNGTAGAGGATTCTTGTTTGTTATCTATCTTCTGTCCGTTCTAAGTTTACATTTTTTGACGTTTCATTAAAAAAATGCTAGCCGGAGACGACCAATCGAAAACAGCCGTGTTTGTTTAAAGCTGTGCTGGAAAATGATGTTGACCAAACAGAAATTTGTTATCTATCTTATGTCCGTACTAATCTCATTTTTTCAAGTGACATTTTTTGATCAGTGTGAATACCATCTACGAGAAATATCATTTTGCACTCTGACAGAATGTTGAAGATAACGAAATTTGTCATACCTAGCCAACAATAAAATACCTACTCTCTGCATACAACTATTTTTGGAGTTTTACTCCATAATGATGTTTTAGGTCATTTTGATTCGTGTAGTGTCTCACCAAGTATAACAGTAGTATGATAAGTCTGACAAACTACCAAGAGCCATTATGTTAAAGTTTCTTGCACATTTCCAGAAAATTCCAAAGCAGGAATTCGGAAGAATTCCACAGAGCACTTGGATGATGAAGTGTAATTTCATTTTTCGACGCGGCTGTGAAGTTGAACCTTTGGACCAACTGAAAGACAACAAAACAATAACGGTATCCAGACCTTTAAGGTTATTCTGTATCTTATGCTTTGTTGCCAATCTAAAAATATAGTAGGAATTAACCTGTTGTTAGTAGAGGTGACGCCGCAGAGTGAAAAGAAATCTTACAATTAAATATATCTAGTGATTTAAATTTAGTGAGGTGGTTTCTTTCTTGATTTCTATGGAAATATATGTATACTGTATAAACTATTTAATTACAAAAATTTCTTAAAAAAAAATTGAAAAAGCTGTAAGAAAAATAGAAACATTTCTAACCCTAAATAACGATAAATCCAGCAGTAACGATATCCAAACAAAGAAACGACACGGACAAAAGAGTAGCGAACACTACAAGCTCAAGTTCTAAGGTTCACAACAACAGTGAAGGAGGGGGATACAATCGAAATCTAAATCCTGCTTGTCAAATATATTGTTTGCTCGTTACCGGTACTACTGCCTTCTCGTCAACGCGTTTGTATTTATTTCTACCCTATTACAATAGAAGAAAGTTTTTTTTGCTCAACCAACACTCGAAGCTACAACGCCCACCATGAATTTTTTAACTTACCCACTTGACCATATACACCGATCGAAACTAAAAATAAAATGAAGTATTTAAAGCCGTTTCCAATACGGTCCTGTTCTAATTTTTTGGTTTTGTTTTAATCCGCGGGTGGCCACCTGAGTAGATTTCGTTGACAGATGAAAAGTATCCAACGATCGAGGATTGGATAAAGAAGCCCCGGTAGCCAATAGTAAGGACGCTATGGCACCTCGAGATCGGTTTACCTGAAACCGGACCAAAAACCGAGAGAGAGAAATTCGCGGTTTTGCTTCGTGCCCTTTGGTCCCTTTTCGGAGAAGAGGTTTTTGGGGGACCAGCAGTGAGAGCCGGAGTTCCCCACGCATACAAACGGAGCACTCGAGCACGTCCGTGTAGTACCCTCGTTGAGAAGTCCGGAGTTTGCCGTGTTCTCCCCCCTCTGATGAAGATCCCCCCCTAAATCTGTGTGTAGTACGCGAAGTGTTTGAATCTCGAGGGTCTCTTGAAAATGGCTGGTAGTACACCCGCACAATTTTTTATTTTCTTTTATCAAAAATACTAAACAATGATCTAAAATAAGCATATTTACCTAAAGTAGACATTCTCATAGTAACAGGCATTTCTCCACAAGTCGATTCTCCGTCGCTACCCAATTTTCGTTTTCGAGGTCTCCCCTTTTGATGATGATGTGGAGGCGTAGCTGGATAGTAACCCGGGGATTCACCACCCCTGTAAACCAAATCCATGGGATCGGGTGGATCGCAGTAATCCAACAGTTCATAATGAGGCCTAGAATCGAAATCGTGAAAAGGGATTAACCTTAATTAAGAAAAAGAGCTGCCGTTTTAGTTGCGCCAAATTCAAAAATAACAAACGCTCTTTGGACACGCGACGCAAAACCATTATTATTCCGAGTTAGTCTGGAGGCATTTGAATAAGACTCGGGATTAATTGCTCGTTAGTACCGCGGTGAATTATCATCGCAACGCGCCGTTTAAGACCGAAACAGACGTCTTAATTACTGACATACAAGAATAGGCTTTGAATCTAGATTAAGAGAGGAAAAATTTTTGTACCTGCAATAAACGAGACCTTCTCTCATTCCGAAGTGATCACCTTTTGATAATGGCACGCCGCATGATGTACAGGAGAAACAATGTAAATGGTAGACGAGATCACGAGCTCTCATTACTAGTTCATTTGCTGATATCCCTGCGTGACATCTACCACATCTTGAAACTGCAAACATTCTAGAAAAAAACATATATTAATAAAAATTAGACTTGAGTGGGCAAAAGTAGTATTTGAAATATTGTTATATACTGAAATACCCTTAAGTTTGCAAGGACAATCAATAATTTAGAAACTCAATGAATGCTATCTATAAAAGAAAATGAATCTTTAATAGAATTGTTTTGGGATGGAGACTTGAAAATTGTGTTTACTCAATTAGAATTAGATGGACTGGATGATGTATTATTTTGATAATCTACTAAATTTTCTCATAATTATTATTCTGTTTGTATTGCTTTATCCTGTATTAGCACCATATGGTCTTTTGCATAAATATCTAGCCTTCTGCAAGTAGCATTTGATTTTCTGGCAGTATATCTAATCTTTTGCAAGCCGCTTCTGGCTTTTTATTTACACCTAATCCTTCATTTAAAGTGATTTGTCATCGGAAAAATTGTATCAAATCTTCTGCAAGCGATATCTAGTCTTATACAAGCAATTCAAGTCTACTACAAGTAGTAGTAGTACCTAGTAGCACCGACTGGGTAGGTCACAAGCAGATGTAGTCTTTTGCCATCAGAATCTGGTCTTCTGTCAGCAATATCTAGTCTTCTATGCAGATTCTAATCTACTCTACGCAGATTTTAGCGTTCTATTGGTTGTATTTAGTCTTCCATGGAGTATTTCTTTTCATATCCTTATTCTCTACTTTTATCTTAGCTAGCGAGATGATCCACTAATCGATGTTCAAAACTCACCAGATCGCATACAATGCAGAGCACAAAATGTTCCTTTACAAGATACTATATTTGTGGCATAACGTCTTAAAGATGACCATGATCACAATCGGAATTCACTCTTAGCAAAAAGAATTGTAGATGCATTTAAAGAAAGTTTGAAAGCGTTCTATGTTAACAATATTGAGCATTTGTAATCCTAAATCTCTTTTAATACGTGTTGCTGGTTACTCAACATGTAATTATGGTCGATAGTAGAAGAAAAAGGATTAATAATTACTGTTAGGAAAAAAGATACTGTGCAAAAAAGAGGGAATTAAGCGGAAAAGAGATAATAACAGGAAGAAAAGTACTGGACATGGGAGAAGAAGATCGAGCAGAATGCTAAGCAGGAAAGAGGATGTAAAGGCAAGAAAGTAATTAGACAGAGATGAGGAGAACTGGAAGGACACTGGTAATGGAAGAACGAGACTGGTAGAAACTGGAAAGCTATGAAGGAGATTGGAAATAAAAGAAAGAGGTTTCAATTTTGAACAGGTGGTAGCTTGATGTGTTCTTAAAGAGGAGCAAATTTACTTTTTCGAAATAAAAAGGTGCGTTCCAGAGAGTACGTCGCTGCTACATCTTATCTACATAAAGAAATAGAGGCGCGACGTTCTGTTTCTGGAATACACACCAGGACCATATTTTCCGATTGGACAAAACCTTCCTCTCCCCGCATGGCTTATTTATGTTCCTTTTTAATTTATAATTCGCTCTAAAAAACTTAGAGAACATAACTCTGACAAACGCAATTATTTGTAATATTTTGGTTAAAACCACGACAAAATCCACCCAGCCGCTTTCGACGAGTACCTAGGAAACTGGATGGAGACTGGAATCAAATGAAAAAGACTTGGCAGAAAGGAGAAAGACTATCAAGAGGCTGGTTATAGAAGAAGAAGGCTGAATAAATACTGGAAAGAAAAAAGAATACTGTGCAAAGGAGATTGAAGTTGGAAAGAGACCGTAATGGGAAGAATAATGCTACACAAGGAAAAAAGAAGAGTGTGCAGAATGTTGAACTGGAAGGAGACTTGATATAGAGGAAGGAGATTGGAAAAAATGTGTAAAAGCAACGAAGAAATTTGATAGAGCAGAGGAAAATGGCTGCAAAGATATGAAGGCGAAGGTAGAGTTCTGAACAGGAAAAAAACTGAGCAGAGCAGCATGAAACTGAAAAGAAGATGTAAATACAACAAAATAATGAAATTGGAAATAGAAGAAAGAGTTTTCATAGAGCTTGGAAAGAGGAGAAATACTAGCCATAATGGAGGGACACTGAAAAGAAACTGGTAATAGATTTAGGAAGCTGGATAGAGTCTAGGACTAGGCAGAGAGGAATGGGACTGACAGGAGGCTGGTAATAGAAGAAGATGGCTGAATCACAATACTGGAAAAAAAAAATACTGTGCAATAGAAAATGAGGTTGGGAAGAGACTGTAATGGGATAATGCTGGACAAGAAAAAAAAACTGGGCAGAAAGTTGGACAAGAAGGAGACTTGATAGAGAGAAAAGAACTGGAAGGACACTGGTAGTGGACAAAGAAAACTGAACGGAGTAGAAGGAGAATGGAAAGAGAGTATAAAGCCAAATGCATTTTCAAAAATCGTTTTCGCACGACATAACCAATAATTAAAATTATGTAAATTTTCAGGGAAAATAGCTCATTTGCTACAATTAAATATGAAGTTGCAGAAACTATATTTGGCAAAAAATAGGGAACGGAATGGAGACTGGAATCAAATGAAAAGGATTGTGCAGAGAGGAAGGCGACTGTCTAGAGGCTGGTTATAGAAGAAGAAGGCTGAATAAATACTGAAAAGAAAGAAGAATACTATACAAAGGAGAGTTATTTTGGAAAGAGACCGTAACGGGAAGAATAATGCAGAACAAGGAAAAAAGAAGAGTGAGTAGAATGTTGAACAGGAAGGAGACTTGATATAGATGTAGGAGACTAGAAAAAAATGTGTAAAAGCAACGAAAAAATTAGATAGAGCAGAGGAGAAATGCAAGGAAACTAGTGATAGACGAAAGAGATTGAACGAAGCTGAAAAGATATAAAAATGAGGGTAGAGTGCTGGTCAGGAAAAAAACTGAGCAGAGAGGAATGAAAATGAAAAGAAGGTGTAAAGGCAGCAAAATAACGAAATTGGAAATAGAAGAAAGACTTTTAATAGAGCTTGGAAAGAGAACAAATACTGGCATAATGGAGGGACACTCAAAAGAAACTAGTAATAGATTTAGGAAGCTGGACAGAGTCTGAAAAGGATTAGGCAGAAAGGAGTGAGACTGTCAGGAGGCTGGTAATAGAAGAAGATGGCTGAAGCACAATACTGGAAAAAATATACTGTGCAATAGAAAGTGAGGTTGGGAAGAGACTGTAATGGGAAGAATAATGCTGGACAAGAAAAAAAGACTGAGCAGAAAGTTAGACAGGAACGAGATTTGATAGAGAGAAAAGATACTAGAGAAAACTGAGCAGAGTGGAAAGAGACAGAAATGTGTAAAGACAGAAATTATTAGGTCAATAAGCAAAATGCATTTCAAGAAATCCTTTTGGCACGACATAATCAATAATTAAAATTATGTAAACTTTCAGGGGAAATACCTCATTTTGTGAATTTGCAAAATTTCCACTATCATGGTTCTTTCGATTATCACATTGTCACTTATGATCATACATTTTCTATAACAATTTTGTATCCCAAGCTATAGCTAAACAAAATGATTTTTAAGTAATTTCATGAAACTAGGTACCCGACAACGAAACAGAGGCAAAATGTTGAACAAAGCGGAGTGAAACTGGAAAGAGACTCAGACAGGGAAGACGAAGGAGAAGGAAGGAGTTTGGCAAAAAGTGCAAAGGTAACAAAGGAACAGGACAAAGAAGAAGAGAACTGGAAGGAGGTTCTTAATAGTAAAAAGAGAAATTGACCACAACCCAAACTTTTTCCCTAAAGTTTTGTTTCCCAAGTTTCAACCAACTTATGATAATAATCAACATTTTTTAAAGTCTCTTTACTTGATGGAATTCCAAGACATGTTTAATGATATGAACAGATTGATTAAGTAATAAACGAATTTTTTAATATATTCAGCACACCATCTTGATCTTAGTACACCGATAACGTTTATCACGATCAAAACCATGCAGTGTCATAACAAAAGACAGCGCAAATTGCACACACACACAGTCGCCCACGCGTCCTTCACCACGACCAATTAAGCGCTGGTCGCGAGATGGCAGCAGATCGAGCGTGAGATAACGTCGAAGGATTTTCTACGAGGATCGAGTAGGACGACGCGCTATTTCTTCCTTCCTGTCTTCTTTACCCCTTCACTAAACGCAAAATCGACAATTTTTTTTATCATGGGAACCAACGTGTGTCTTAGATAGGTTATCTTTTTCCTCCATGTCCTAATTTTCGATATGTTTCGATAAACCGTTTGTTGACGTCGCGATATCATCGACAACCTGTCTAAAGTTGTTATGATGGGGGGTTTTATAATTTTATGACATGACGAAGGGAGTCATTACGAGCATATTTGAAGGGAACGAAGCTTTCGGTGTAAATATTTTTATTCTTATATCATTGATCGCTTATAAATAAAATTTTTTTTTGGTTATTTTTGGTAATAAATCGGTGTCAGAAGTTAGGTCGGGACAAATAAATAACAATTAGCGGCTTTTTCGATAACAAATTCGCGAATACGGGGGCCATGCATCCGGGACGACCCAATTAAAAAGATCCCGAAAAAAATATCTGTCGATCGTGTCTTTTGCCCGCGGTGCCGTCAAAAATTCCGGTCGCGGTCAATTCTGAAGGCGCAAGCAAGGGGGGACGTCGGAGGAATCTCGTAAATATTTCCTCGGACGGCGAAACTCCCAAACGCCTTCTCATTCATCGATCTACGAAAAGCTCTCGCTTTCGAAGCGCGGCTTTTTGTGTCGATAAACGATCTGAATATCTCAGCTCCCGTTCTTTCTATTGCGTAACCGGACGGGGATAATGAGGGTGCATTCTTGGTCGTTCCCTTAAAAATTAATTAACATTCCACGGGCCGTTGGGAACTTTTTTTATTGTGTTTGAGACGATGGTCATCCAAACAAAAGCCAGGTGACAATTTGAAGACTAAGACCTCACTCTTAGATTCAACTCAATTCCAAATAACAAAAAATAGTAAGAAATATTTTCATTATGTAATGTTTGTACCACACGGTTATTGTATTAGAATAATTTAATTATATTTATGATATTCACCTGATATATATATACAACTTTCAATTAATTAAATTTTCACTAATTCTATGCATTTATACATTAATAGAAATGTTGATTAGATTACACAAATGTTTAATTATTGGAACGAGGAGAAATTGCTTGATTAAATTATAAATCGCAAAAGGTGTGGTTTATATATTATACTAATTAATCTAAATTAATAACATTAAATCCAAAAAAACACTGTTAAAAATTTTTTTAAGTCAAGAACTCGCCGAGTTTCATATTTTAAATTAAAATGTAAAATTATGCACTTATTTAAACCAATAGCAATAAACTATGTTTACGAGGAAACTAATCAGATTAGCATGATTTTAAAAAATCTACTTACCTATAATAATCTTCTTTGCAATAAATGTTTCCATCCCGGGCAAAACACGTCAATTCAGTGTCTAAAGGTAATTTACATTCGCAACATTTCAAACAATGCGCGTGCCATTGTCTATCCACGGCTAAAAGATAATATCGATCGTGGATTCGTCCACCACATCCCGCGCAAGAAACCACATCCAATCCGGAACTACCCAATGAGCACGGTGATGATCTTTCCAAACTTTCCCGTTCCTTCAGCATCCTTTTTCTTTAAGTTTGAGGGTCTTGTACTCGCTCGACTGACCTGAAACATACGAAATCGCTTACTAATATACTGATGTGAGCTCCGAATCGAATTAACCATCCGTTAACTTTCACGTTGTTCCGCAATTAACCTAACTTGATCTCTGGCGATATGTCTCGTACCGATTTAAATAGACTTAAGACGAGATGTGGCGCCAACTAAGAGTTTATAGAGAGTTTGGAACTGTTGACGAGACTCGAAATGGGTAAGTAGAGGTATGAAGGTGTCCGGATAGTCTAGTCTAACTAACTGGTTTTCTGAATTGGCGACAAAATCTTATTTCCTCTTGTAAATAAGAAGTTTGAGATGTAGGTTAAAGGTTTTAAAAGAATTTTTATTTGTATATTTATATAGAGCGTAACTTAGTTTGATGACCCCGACTTCAAGAAGTATGTATAAAAACATATAAATTTATATGCTTGAAAACCCAAAGTTAGTTAATCAGCAATCTTAACACTGGAATTTTGATAATTATCTCTTTAGTGAAATGATTTTTTTTTGTCACTGCATATAACAAGTTGGAATGCTGATATACTTACATTACATTACATTACATAGAATACATATCGGGTAGGCGGACCAACCAACCTTGCACCGCGACCCTAAGGATCTATTGTACCCCGATAGATATCATTATCAAATTTCACCGTGCAGTCCAATGCTCTTAAGGAACATTAATACCTTGCTCGGCGAAAGGTCATTCAGATCTTTTGAGGAGATAAACTGCGACCCAAAAATCGAGAATCTGATACGGTTAACGGCAGGGCAGTGGCATAAAACATGCTCAACCGTCTCTGCTTCCTCCGCACATAGTCGGCATTCAACATCGTCGGCTAAACCCTACAAGTTGAGGTGTGCTTTTAATCGGCAGTGCCCAGTAAAAACACCCATTAGAACTTTTATGCTACTACGGGCAAGTCCCAAAATATTCCCGGGTTTGACAGTGGCGATGTTAATAAACACCTTAGCATGTCTCATTCCAGGAGAACTGGTCCACAGTAGGCGAAGTCTCTCTTCAGCCCACAGTCCAATCCTATATTTGGCCATCGCAAATGATACACCAACTGCTGGTTCCGGTCCCACAAACGCTTCAGCGCTGCCATCTCGTGCTAGCTTATCTGCCGCTTCATTGCCAGCAACACCAGAGTGACCCGGGACCCAGATCAGAGAGACTCTGTTATCACAACTCAGTGTGTTTAATGTTCTCTTACAATCATTAACCAGAGCCGACACCGTTTTCACGGCTTGCAGCGCCTGGAGGGCGGCTTGACTGTCTGAGAAGATTCGTACTGTCATGTTCTTCACCCCTCTTTCAAGAAGGATTTTAGCACCCATGTCAATAGCAAATACTTCCGCCTGGAATACAGTACAGTACGTACCCAGGCTGTAGGCTTGCTTAATTCGAGGTGTCTGGCAGTATACTCCTGCTCCTACCCCTTCACGCGTTTTTGATCCATCTGTGTACAAGCAAATGTCTGCCCGAACCAGAGAATTTTCATTTTCGATCCAGGACTGCCGCTCAGGCAGTACAATCTGGTATCGAGCATTAATCACTGATAGTGATACCGCCAAATCTGATGGCATTGATAGCACAGTATCAGTGCTTATAATGTCTTCCGCAGCCCATTGGTAGGACATGTCGGAACAGTTTTGAGCATATTGCTTAAATCTGTAAATGGTTATTCTAGCCACTTTCTCTATATGCAAATGCAGAGGAGATAGGCCAAACAGAACCTCCATTGCTAGAGTTGGCGTTGTGCCTATCGCACCAGAGATTGCCAATCCAGCTACTCGTTGAATTCGTGAAAGTTTACTGATAGCTGAAGTCTGTCGGACTTTCCTATACCAGGCTGCTGCTCCGTATGTGATCATAGGTCTAACCACAGTCACATAGAGCCAGTACAGTCTTTCAGGGGTAAGACCCCAACTTTTTCCACAAAGACTGCGACAAGTCCATAAGGATGCTGATATACTTATTTTTTTATCCCATTTTATCTCATTATTCAAACCTAGAATACAAATAATTATTGAATCATAAAGAATAGAAATCTTCAAAGTAAATCTATTCCGAGTTTTGTTATATTTGAGTACTGGCTTAATTCAAAACCAAATTGTTTGTAAGATTCCAAAAAATTTTGTATGTCATTGTATAGAGCAAACATAATCATGTTGATAGGACAGTATAGATGTCGCAGGCAAATGGTTATTTCAGGTAGATAGCTTTTTCCTAGGCACATACTGTCTGCCTAGGCAAAAAGTAGTTCGTTACAGTTTTATCATTAAATGTCTAGGCAAATACTATTAGACATGATAAATAGTATCTGTCTAAGCTTGTTTTAGGCAAATGCCATTTTTTCGATATAACAATGTAATATAGAGTAGGTACCTGTTCACAACAAAATAAAGTAGTTATATGTATTGAGAAAACACAACATTTCCTTTGAAAGATGATATTTTATTTTTAATTATCGGTGCTACAAATTTGTTTCGGTTATTAAACCATCATCAGGCACCACGTCTGATGTAGTATCTCTGTGATCTATTTATTTACTAAAAGAACGCGTAATTATTTGTTAAAAAAGCGAAATTGTTGGTTCGTCTTGATATGTCTTATCTACCTACATTATCAAAAACTTATTATTGACAGTTAGACGTGGTGCCTGATGATGGTTTAATAACCGAAACAAATTTGTAGCACCGATAATTAAAAATAAAATATCATCTTTTAAAGGAAATATTGTGTTTTCTCAATACATATAATTAATATTATAAAGATGAACCTGGAGGTGACTATCACTAAAATAAAGTAGTTTCTATTGTTATCAACCTACTTTTCTTAAACTAAAGTACTAATGAGTATCAAACGAGTCAAATTATTTGCGTATCATTTAAAAAAAATGTATAACAGTTTCGTATACTTTTATTATGTTTAATAAAAATAACTAGTTTAATAATACTAAATACAAAAATTTACTTGTTTTAACAATTGTTGCTGGAATGGCATCTACTATTGTACATCATCTTATTTTTGTAACAAGTACATCTTTGTACTGAGACCGATACCATAGCCCAAAATAGAATTCCATAACATGCAATGCTTTGGAAATTTGCAAAATAAGCCATCCTGCTTCGTGTGTTGCAACCATTTTCATTCACCTGATTGTGCATCGATATTGCACTGGCTAATTTGGAAGCTATATCCGATATATGTGATTGCCACGTGAGTTTGTTATCTATGTTCAACCCTAAATACTTGATGTTACACTCTTGGGTCATTTCGTGACGGTAATTTTAAATATTATGTTTTATCAGTATTGATTCTTAGCTTATTGTTATGGAACCATATTTCTGCTATTCTTGATATGAAATTGTTTTTGGTGTTGTTACATAACTGGTGTATATCTTGGCACCTGAAACTGGGTTTCGCGCATGGTGCGCATAAATGGAATAAGTTTAATCAACTTTGATCGAAGCAGAAATTAAAGAGGTGACAGAAAGAAAAGATGGGTTAGTTATGAGTTAGAGTTATGTTAAACAGTTTTTCTTCAATAGACGCCAATGATATATGTTTTGTTTTCTGTTGTACAGAGCGAATAATTAATGCTTAAAGAGCTATTTGCCTGAAAATATTTTAGCCAATGCTATTTGCCCAGGAAAATAGAATTTAGACTGAAATAAATGGAATAAAACTATTTGCCTAGGCAGATAGTATCTAACTAGGAAAAAGCTATTTACCTGAAACAACCATTTGCCTGCTACATAGATAATATCCAGTGAATCCAGTGCCTAAGTGCCAAGAAATGTAATCACTTGATAAATTTCCTCTTCATTTTCTCCATTGCAAGGATATGTGAAGTGGATGGAGAGAAAAGAACACCATTATATTCAAATTGCTTCTCACAAATACTTGAAATATCATCTGCATTGAAGATAGCGTAATAAATACAGAGATTTTATATAGAATGAAAAGATTTTTTTTTAGGTAGTACATCTGTTTGCAATATGACCTTCTATTTTACAAATTAGATAGCCTTGCAATAAAAATGATGTGTTTAGATCCAATCAAAATCCCCAAATTGATAATTATCAATATGCACTTAAACGATTATAATCTAAATCGTTCTATCGATCTAATCTCGATATGAGGCTTGAGTAAGGACGCATGAGTTTTACCATCTTAGAGGTGATGGAATTTTGCTACTTCTCGAAGTCTCCTCGATATTCTGTTGGAAAGCTTACGTGTAATCAGCGGGGTTCAACAGCTTTTACGTTGCCTTCTAGTAAAATGAAAACAATTTCTTTGAAAATCAATAGGAACATCTTCTTTGTGACGGTCAACCTCGCTGATAATTCTGTTTATGGTGGACTTTACTTGTGGGGTATCGTTGGTATTAGGTTGCTAGATCTGACCTAATGAAGTACTGGGTCGAACTTAAATCCAGGCGACTTCCTGCTGGGACTTGAATACACGCAGTTCACCTTTAGATCGTTAGCGAAGATTTTCTTATCCTCTTGTATTAAGACAAGGTCTTGCCAAAAAGTCTCTTCGTTGTGGATTTTATTTCCTTTGCTCACTTCGCCCATCTATCCTCCATACTATCGACATGGTATCTTCACCTAGATCTGGTGAATCTAGTAACATCCTGAATATCTAGTTTTTCACGTGTTAAGCACTCTTAATTTAGTCTCGTAACATTACGCCTCTAATCGTTCGCAATGCTATCATTTTTACAGTTTTAATCATACTTTCTGTTTTAGAAGTCTCTGCCAGAGTTCCGTCGAGTCCTGCTATTTGCTTGCAGCTTTATTTGCTTGCATACGGAGTTCTTGATATAGAATGATATTTTCATTATTACTATTGATTTTATTTACTGATATTAACATGTTACATTTATCTGACGTTATTTGAAATTTATATAGATATCATTGTAGATCATTTTAATTTTTTGCCATTAAAAAGGCATCGTCAGCATAGCACAGAATATTTATTGCTTCATAGT